AATTCTTTCAAGTAGTAATAAAATTCAAGCCCCCTCCCCATCCCTTCTGATTTGTGCTTTTTCCCAGCCGATTTTCTCAGTTGAGCGATGTGGCCTCTTGTTTGCTTCAACATGATTTATTCAGTTGTACCACTACAAGTTTATATCATATTCATTTCTGTAAAGATGTACAATCTGAATCATAAAGTCATAGAGATATTACATATATATGTATGGATATAAGTAGTATAAGCCGCCTGGATGGGCGGGTCAACTGAGTACACTTTTGGGGCTGGGGGATAGGCGGGTCAACTGAGTGCACTTTTGGGGCTGGGGGAATAGGCGGGTCAAGGGAGTGCAGGTTGGAGGGCTGGGGGAAAGGGGGTTAAGAGAGTGCAGATTTGGGGGGTCTGGGGGATAGGTGGGTCAACTCAGTACAGCCCTAACCCTAGGGGGGCTAAGGTGGTCAGTACACAGCCCTAAATACGGTGTTTACACTATACTATACGCTGCTACTACGATTCACAACGCTGCAACTACGATTTTGGCAGCGACTCAAGAATGTGATTATGACGTCACGATTTCATTCACAGTCTAGCCAGCCAGCCAGTTTGAACTGGATTTTCTGAAAACAATAACAAAGACAATTTTATTCAGAATCAAAATACATACTGAATTTACTTTTTCTTCTTCTGTGCCTTTTCAGTCGTCAGGGATAGTTTCCTCTTGTGAGTAGTGCTGGGGCCTGGAATCTCTCTGTTGTGTTCCTTTTTCTCTTTTTTGTCTCCTTCTTTCACTAAAGGTTTGGTCTGGTGGGTCCCTGAAGTTCTGGGTTCTTGAGGCTTTTTCTCCAGTTTTTGTATTTCTTTTACGAATTGGTGATCCTCCTCCTCATCCTCTGTACACTTATTAGTCCAATGACCAAATTTCCCACATTTGTAGCACGAATCCTGTTTTTTTCGATCGGGGGCAATCTGGGGCCCAATGCCCTAACTCTTTGCAGATGTAGCATGGATCCGTCTGTCTTGTTTTCTTAGTCTCTCCTGATCCCCCTTGTCCTTTTTTCTGGTAAGAGCTTCCTCCTCCTCGTATTTTGTCTTGCATGTTGGTGACTTTCACTTCTAATTTGGATAATTTGGCACGAATCAAACAAAATTCACTGGTGTTGTAAGTTTTCAGATCAGTCAGCTTGTTGTCAACATCACTCACCTTGTTGTTCATATAATTCAGCTTATTATCAAGACCAGACAGCATGTTGACAATCCCATCCAGAGTTGTAGTCAAGATGCCCATATCTTCTTTATTCATGTATTCTTGAAGATTATACATGCCCAAATCCAATCCCACTGCATCCTGTGACTCTGGCATGGGGGCTCCTACATACCCTTCAGGTGTCACATAACGGGTTGTTTGGGGTATTCATCATTGCTTCAGTCATAATATTTTTCACGTCTGTCAAGTTCGAAGTGCCAATCAAGACTGATCGTCAAATCCCAGTTTTGCTTTATATACCTGCTGGATCTGTAAGGGCCGTGTGCATCAATACGTTTTACCTACGTTTTTATACCTGTTGGATCTGTAAGGGCCGTGTGCAAAAAAAAAAAGTTTTACCTACGATTTCTACAGGGGTTATACATGTTGGATCTGTAAGGGCCGTGTGCAAAAATACGTTTTACCTACGTTTTCTAAAGGGGTATAAATGAGAAGAAAAGTCTGGTCCTCTCTTGACAATCGACTATCATGTCAACCCTGATACACACTCACTCTCTGATTTTAGATGGGTATGATTGTTTAGTACGATGGGCACAGAACCACCAAGAAGCTCTTCCCCCGGAGGCAGAACAAGTATTTCAGGAAGCGACCACGATCATGGAAACCACTCAGGATTTGTGGTTACAATGCCTAGCCTTATCACATCATGCGACCATGGGGAGACGAGCTACTATACATTTTCTGTCGACATATGAAAACAATTCTGCCCCAGAAATGGTACGGACTGAACCTGACCCATCATTTCTGAAAGCCGTACAGTTTCCTGACCCATCCCCAAGCGGTCAAAGTGATTTTACTGTGGCAGGAAATAGATGCGATGGAGAAAGTGTGTATTCAATACGGAATAAAATGGATGGAAATTTCACATAGGCTAGGAAATCAGTGACTTTTAATACCAGCCTCAATCAAATCTACGATTTACCCCCCGAAGACCGGAGAAGTCCCTGGATGCAATTAGTAGCGGATCGAATACGATTCCGGAGGAGAATTCGACAGTTAGAAGCTTTGTTAGTCTTTAAAAAATAAAATCATGTAATACAACGTCAGTGTTATGTTATGTATGACGTCATCTTTATACACTCGGGTCCATGGATTTCGCCTCGTCACTGTTAATGTAGTCGATAAATTTACGGTCGAATGTTGATTGTTTGATATGGTCAATTTTTGGATAAACATTGTGTATGATTGAAATTAATGATTGAAAGTTGTTTAATATATATAGTATTCGATGATTTAACTGTTATCTTGTTTTATATTGTATTGTGTACAGGGAATTGGGAGATGATGAATATTGAAAAGTTTATTACTTATTTACAATGATTTCATGTATCACACGTTAGGTGGCGCTTTTCCAAAAGAGATTTTTTTGTGCTATCCTATCACATGTCACGATTTTTGATCACATGATTGAGTATTGATGTTACCGCCATATTTGACTATCGTTTGCTTTTCCAAAAGCGATTTTTTGTGCTATCCTATCACAATTTTGATCACATGACTGATTATCGATGTTGCCGCGATATTTGACTATCGTTTGGTATTGTGCATAAATACCGACGCTCCCGAGAGCTCGACATTATTTTGTTCGTAGCTGTTAGCAGTTTACAACATGGCAAACCGATTCTTCCATGAAGATCTTTACCTTATACCCGGCATCGCGATCGAATTCCACATTACTGTGAGGAGACTGGACAATGGACGGCAGCTGATGCGCATCAACATGGCTCGGATTCAGGTCAATAATCACCGGAGCAGAAGCACTGTGTGTTACTGACACCGGATATTGCTACCATCGAGGCGAGAGGTTCTCCACATTTAATCAGGACAGAGGTTGATATTTATTTTATTTGTCAAAGAATTCGTCCTCATAAGTGTTCTACATGTATTTCTGACATAAAGAGGATGCTACACTTTTAGATTGTATTCGTTCCGCAGCGTTTGGCAACGTCATTTTATTCAAACTTCAAAACATGCCACCTGGTACCGGAGGAAATTCTACCTGAGAGAGTTTGAAGGCTGCTTTATTAATTGTTTCAAACAATTTAGTAATGTTTACACACGCATGTCCTTTTAATCTATATTTCTGAACTTCTTATATCAAAGTAAATGATACAAACTGTTTATTTACATCAAAACAAAGCAAATATTATTTTTCAGAGTGTACGGCTTATTGTAAATTGTTTCTACAACTGTGTACGGCAAATTGAAATATCACTGTACGGCATTTTGAGGTTTTAAACAATCTGAAGCAACTGTTTTTTCATTTTACTATTTGCATTTGTTAACGTTTGTACGAGAATAAAGACATTTTTGAATATATATATCACCCTAAAGTAATAAGGGCCTGTGAAACCTCGCCAGACGAAGTACAAGTATTCTAAAGCTCATTTAGACAATATGTATTAAAAATTTTGTGAAAATTTTAGTACATGTATGATGTTTCAGTACTCAGTTTGGACTTTCACTCCACAGGCAAAAGAAAATACACTTTAGAATTTGAACACATCTCTAACATTTATGGCACATGGTATAATAGATATAGTCTCTTCATTTCAGATTTCATTTGTATCCGGTATCTAACCAAGTCAGTGTTACGTTGGATAAAAGTAAATTCTGCAAAGCCGAGATGAAAGGACCAGGATCAACAAAAATTTTAGCAGTAACACTTTCATTTGTGGAGTGCGTGTGGGACATCCTTCTCAGGGAAATACAAACAGAAGGAACATACTAACTATATAGGCATTAACGAAAGGACCCTGAGATATATAAATTTGTTCTGGCGCTGCTCTTTCAAAGCTCACCAGACGTTGTACCCTCTTAGGGACATACGCAACGTACCTTACCTACTGATAATTTTGAACGATATTTAATTTAAAAAAGATGAATTTTATTTATAATTCAAGGGCCGGCGCGCCGGGCGTGCGCCCACTCCCCCCCCCCCCCACTTCACCCCCGTTTGATATTTTTGTATGTAAAACTTATAAGTTTATTACCCTAAAATCAAGTAATAACTTCTCTTATTTGTAAGAACTTGTCAGCCCCAGACCCCCCATTAATAACCTTGCCTTAGACCCACTGGGGGCTTCAGTACAGTCACCAGAACCATGCTTTATAATGCATTGGCGTCGGCAGCAAATTGAAAGGGAGGGCTAAGTGTAAGAGGAATTTTTAGACGTACCAAAAAAAAAAACATCAACAAAAAAAGGAAATAATATTGTCCATTGTCAAAACACGAAAATCCTATTTCGAAAGGAGGAGGTGTTAGGTTCGAACTTCTTCAGTACATTTTTTTAAACGCTACCACTTTTCTCATTTTTTTTTCTACACTGCAACGTGTCTCAGGAGTTGGGGGTGGGGAGGGGGGGGCTAACCTACGCCGCGATGTACATTGTCTATACTAAGTCTTCTGCCCTCCTCCCCCCGTTACTGAAGTGCCATCCGAAGTTAGTAGATAAAAATTCAGCATGCCCTATGAAGGGGCTGGAAAAGATATCCATTGATAAAGTTTCTTGTATAATTCATAGAAAATCACACAAAAATTATTTAACATATATTCTAGATGTTTTGTTTATCCAGACTTGTTAACTAGAAGAAATGTACAACAACATCAACATATACAGACAATAATACTAACATTAAAATGTAAAATTTTCAGGCGCAGATCCAAGATTTTTTTTCCGAAAGGGGGGGGGGGGGGGTCACCAAAGTCAACAGTAAAAAAAAAATATACCCAAACTTTCTGTGAGAGAGGTTTGTTTGGGGGATGGGTGGGTTGTTGTTGACCTTGTAAAGCTTTCTACCAAGAACTTTTCATACCAACTGTTTTCATATACATGTACACATTTAAAAACTGCAAATATTCCGGGGCCCCCTGACCCCCACCCCCTCTAGATCCACGCATGAATGTCTATTTTGCAAGGATGTGTGAACCTTTCTTTTTATAATTGAATTTTATTTTTTTTTCACATTATACAGAAATAAAATATTTTGCAAATGTATATTCTATAGTTATTTTTTCGTTTTATTAGTGAATTTCAAAGAAACGCTGAAATTGTCCAATTTTAATCTGTCTATGTGCCGGTATTTTGCTTTGAACACATTTATGATTCTGTCGTACTGGCGCAACTCCGTAACCTTAGGCTGCTGCGTCTAGGGCAATAATGTAAATTTTCTCCTTGCTGCATGTTCTTTTCGTCATTTCTTTGGAATCAAATACGTGGTCCCTATATATTAAATAAAAAAAAAACAATATGATAGAATGTGCTTCTCTGGAAATATTTTTCAAATACTCTCGAAGATCACAGTAAAGAGTTGTATATATTGAGTGAAAGAAATCTTTTTTTTTGGGGGGGGGGGGGGTTAAGACTTACCAAGGAATGATTTCACTCAAAAAAATAGGGAAGGCATAAAAGTATATATATTTTCCCCTTATCATAGTTTATATTATTGTAATAAAATTCTTTACAGCTTGCTCCTGGCAGATGTCTAGTAAAATACGAAAATTGAGGGTGTGTAACACATTTTTTTCCGATTATTTCTTGTGTATTATGAATTAACATTTGGGTGACGATATCTTCAAAGGAGAACGCTGTTTCTTTGCAATATAAGCAGGCAAACAGCCGTAATATCTGAAATAAAATGGGGAAAAAAATCTTTGAAAAACGATTTACAAGTTAAAGAAATAATCAAAATGCCGTACACTTTGAAATAAGCAATCTAGCAATATGCCGTACTGTTATACTCAATTAGCCGTACAGTGCCCAAAAAAGGTTTTGTTTAGTTTTATCATTAAAAACACTTTTTCGTGACACGAATTATACAGAATATTAAGGACATTAAAATTCTAAACAATTACTGATTTTAAGATTTTTCATTTAAGCGTGAAAATATATCTAAGAAGCACCTCAAACTCTCTCAGGTAGAATTTCCTCCGGTACCAGGTGGCATGTTTTGAAGTTTGAATAAGATGACGTTGCAAAACGCTGCGGAACGAATACAATCTAAAAGTGTAGCATCCTCTTTATGTCAGAAATACATGTAGAACACTTATGAGGACGAATTCTTTGACAAATTAAATAAATACCAACCTCTGTCCTGATTAAATGTGGAGAACCTCTCGCCTCGATGGTAGCAATATCCGGTGTCGGTAACACACAGTGAGAAGAAGTCACCCCTACCGCAGACCGCGCAGTTCGTCGCCACCACCACCACTCAGACCTGCTGCTCCAGCACCACCACAGAGCCAGGCGAGGAACCAGGGGCGGATTCCTCCCTGGGGGGTTGCGGTCCCCACAAAGCGGATCCTCTGCACCCTCTGCTTGACAGACGACGAACAAAATAATTTCGTTTGTTCACGCTGTCTACAGCGACCGGCATGTCTCCTGTGCGCTGCCCGGCTCATTGACCGGAATCAGCCTTGCCCCCTTTGCCGCAACAACGAGATTGTTATTCAACCCGTGGGCAGAAGACCGGACTTTGGGGGGGACGAGAGTTCCGATTCGGATTCCGACCGAGATTTTGGAGCGACGGCCCAGGAGCTGTTGAGCCACTAGGGGAACCTACTTGGAGCCACTTGATAACAAAACCATGAAAAAACCAAAAAAATTTCAAAAACAAAAATAACCAAAAAAAAAAAACGGCCGTTTTTACGGCCACCCAACTGTTTAGAAAAGATGCCTACTTATACAGAGGTAAATAAGAAACGTTTTATGTGTCTTAAAAAAAAGATCATGGGTTTTTTTTAAAATACAGTCAAAGAAACGATTGTATCTTAGAAAAAAAGATGATCTTTTTATACAGTCAAAAATGAAACATTGTGTGTGTGTCTTAGAAAAAAGAATACCTTCTTATACAGTCGATAAAAAGAAAAGAGTACCCTTCTTATACAGTGGGTAAACAAGAAACATTGTGTGTGTCTCAAGTTAACACCAGGTCACTTTTTATTAGAACTTAGAATTTTTTTTTAAATTTTTCAAACTTATAATTTTTTTTAAAAAATAACTTTAAATTTTTTAACTTTTAATAATAATAATAAATAGGAAAAAGAGAGTCCCTTTTTAAATAAATTCACATAAAACACATGGACACATTTTTAAAATTTTTTTTTTTTTTCATCAAAACAACAATAACACATACATATATACACTTAATGTGAATGAAGAATGTACACCTGTTTGTCATAAGTGTGTACAAATTGTTCTATATAATGTCTATAATGAATTTAGTTTCCTCTGGTTAGTCCACATCCTATTCGATAAGGAAAAGCATAAGTCTGGTAAGGTAAACTTTCCCCAATTTCTTGTAAATAAGTTTGAAACAATTGCTCTCTATTTTGTGGGGTATCCCGATAAGTGGAAATTCTTTTAGGTCGGTGACTTGCTTTTCCATAATCCCATTGAGCTAGTAAACAAATGACCACAGGTGATTGTGAGGGAAGCACCTTAATAGTACCTGGAATTCCTCTATCTTCTTCTACAGCTAAATTTCTAGACCCTAGAAGTCAGCGAGTCGCATAGAGATTCGCTTGTGGGAATTCCTCTGCAATGCTTTGACTCAATCCATGAGCTTTTACAGTTAAACAATTACATTGATGAACAATGGCTTCTACCTCACAGTGAAGTAAATCACCTTGTATCTCCTGGAGACTCATGATGTAAAATGAATCTATATTTTAAAAGACTATTGTTTTTATATAACAAGAGGCCCACGGGCCTTATAGGTCACCTGAGTATTGTGTAACAACTTTCAAACAATTAAATTTGGTTCGTGTTTAAACCGGAGGCCATGAAATTCACAATTTACAATTTTGAAAGAGGCACCATTGCTTATCATAATTATTAACTTTCAGGCTATGTACCCCCCCCCCTTTTTGATCCTGGGGGCATTAAAAACCACTTTGCTAGATGCACCTTTCTTCATCATAAATATATATATACTTGGATCATTGGCTTAAAACCCAGAAGCAAAGAAAAATATTTACAAAGAATAAATGTATTTTTACTATATAATCAATACACCCCCGACTTAATACCAGAACCCCTGACCCTGGGGCCATAAAATTCACAATTTTGGAAGAGGCGCTCTTGCTCATCATAATTATGTGCTTAGTAAGTTAATCTAATACCCAGGAGCAGAGAAGAAGATTCTCAAAAAAATAATGCATTTTCACTATATTATCTATAAAGCCCCGCCCTAACACCAGAACCCCTGACCCTGGGGCCATAAAATTCACAATTTTGGAAGAGGCACTCTTGCTCATCATAAATATGTGCTTATTTAGTGTATTTAATACCCAGGAGCAGAGAAGAAGGTTCTCAAAGAAATAATGCATTTTCACTATATAATCTATAGAGCCCCGCTCTAACACCAGAACCCCTGACCCTGGGGCCATAAAATTCACAATTTTGGAAGAGGCACTCTTGCTCCACAACTATGTGCTTAGTTAGTTTATCTAATACCCAGGAGCAGAGAAGAGGATTTTCAAAGCAATAATGCATTTTCACTATATAATCTATAGAGCCCCGCCCTAACACCAGACCCCTGACCCTGGGGCCATAAAATTCACAATTTTGGAAGAGGCACTCTTGCTCATCATAACTCTGTGCTTATTAAGTGTATTTAATACCCAGGAGTAGAGAAGAAGATTTTCAAAGAAATAATGCATTTTCACTATATAATCTATAGAGCCCCGCCCTAACACCAGAACCCCTGACCCTGGGGCCATAAAATTCACAAATCTGGAAGAAGCACTCTTGCTCATCATAACTATGTGCTTAATTTGTTTACTGTAGAAGCACAAATTTTCGTGGGCATAAAATTTCGTTGTTTTGTCATCAAAAGTAGTTTCGTGGGCATTTAATTTCGTTGTTTTAAATGTTAAACCTATTCAATATGTAGTCATATAAAATTTCGTGTGGGATTTAATTTCGTTGAATATTGTTAACAACGAAATAAACGAAAATTAATCCCCCACGAATATTTGTGCTTTTACAGTATTAAATACTCAGGAGCAGAGAAGAAGATTTTCAAAGAAATAATGCATTTTCTCTATATAATCTATAAAGCCCCGCCCTAACACCAGAACACCTGACCCTGGGACCATGAAATTCACAAATCTGGAAGAGGCACTCTTGCTCATCATAACTATGAACTTACGCCTGTATGTTAAGGCAGCACATGGATCAGAATTCGGCGAATTAACACTTTTTTTTTTTTTACAATTATGCAACACTAATTAATCGGAAAATCAAGGATAAAACTTTTACTATAATTATGTATTCTATAGACTTCAATAGAACTTATACTACAGGAGGCACTTCACCACGACATCACCACGTGACGTTTATAATTAGAAAATATGCCTTAATGAAAAAGTGAAAAGTTTAACACTACCCCGGGGATAATTAGTTCCAGTTTATATTAATAGTTATGTTAAAACATCTCTGTACCATGAAAAGTGCTGCTAGAATCCTACTGTCCTGTTATAGAAATAATTTTTCAACAATTTCGGACGAAACCTTCCCAAAATTTTTACATTTGTTCATAACATCGAAAAAAAATGCATCAATTCCCGTAAACCATACGATTCTAGCAGCAGTTTCCAAAAACAAAAGAATAAGAACTTTATATAGAAACAAAAATTAAGATTCAAGGTATGCGGCGTAGTGTTGAACTTTTGCATCTTTTTTTGTTACGAACGACAGAGGAAAGGCTGATCGGCAAGTACACACCCTCCCTGCTTTAATTTTACGAAGAAACTGCAGAATTATTTTACCATACCTTATTCATACGCTTTATTCCCACAAGAATCACACATGATATTCATTCTAAATGCTTTTAAACTCCGATTTCTTGTGTTTGTTTACATCAATTTTCGTTACTTTTCACTTTTACTCTGCTACTGCATGATCAACAGTTATGACGTCACGGGTTTGGTATGTAACCCCTGTGATAACTACAGAGGCCCAGGAACGACAAAATCCCGTTGATATTATTCCTCTGCATATTTTGGTTCATTTTTACGACCTCAAATCAATCTTAGATATCGATTTTAAGAAATTGTTATCTCTAAATCTCACGTCATATAGCTTATTATGACGTCATAGCATATAGGCAAGTAGAATATTTGGGTTGTAACCTTAACCTACCTGCGTAGTTAGTGTATTTAATACCAAGGAGCAGAGAAGAAGATTTTTCAAAGACATAATGCATTTTCACTATATAATCTATAGAGCCCCGCCCTAGCACTAGTACCCCTGACCCTGGGGCCATGAATTTCACAATTTTGGTAGAGGACTCAATGCTCATTACATTCATGCCAACAGTTTGCCTGCTTGATGTCCAGGAGTAAAGAAGATTTTTAAAGATTTCGTTAATTTCAGTAGTTGTCGCCCCACCCCTCAGGCCACAGGGGGGCGGGGACCATGAAATTCTCAATTTTGTTTCCCTCCACCCATAGATGCTGTATACCAAATTTGGTTGAAATTGGTTCAGTGGTTTCAGAGAAGAAGCTGAAAATGTTCAAATGTTAACACACGACGACGGACGAAAACGGATAGCAATAGGTCACCTGAGTTTAGATGTGTGGGCAGTTTGTTACGTAGACTTAAAAGCTGAATGAGAGCAAACAGCAAGGACGTGTCAGTATGGAATGTTGATGTTCACCTGCATGGAGTTGGAGATAGAACTGTTCCACAGGTCTATCACATGGACATGGAGTTGATTAGCATGTCTTTGAGTTATTTTCCTTCAGCTTTCGGGGAGGGGGGGGGGGTGACATTAACGACCACATCGCACCCACTGAAGATCTATCATATTGACATGGAGTTGTTGAGCATTTGTCTTGGCGTTATTTTCCTTAAGCTTTGGGGGGGGGGGGAATTAACGATCAGAGCCGACCCACTGACATATTGTTGAAGCTGAAAAGGCTGATTTCCCTTGTTGCTAGAGAACCATCCAGATTCCATCATCATTGTTGGCTCTGTTTTCCAACAGCCGAAGGACCTTTGCTGAGCGATCTTATGATCGCAAAAAGAAAGGTGACAACAGGATTCTTGCTTAGGAATTTGGTGCTTTTGAGCAGTGTTAAAAGGTTTACTTCTTAAACCACAAATTCTTTTGACAAGGATTGAGAATATCTTAATCATGAGAACAGTTGCTTCT